TGATAGCAGCGTGCAGAAGAGAAAAACGAAAGGCTCAGGGAAGGCAACGCAACTAAATTTGAGCCTTTTCAGCAGCTTTGCTGCTGAGACCTGACTTTATTGAGCCAAAGAAACAACAAGCAAATAGCCCTTTCCTACTGGGTCTTGGGGGGATAGAGGCTGCATAGAGTAATGTTTTCTGGCTGTGCATTTCTGTGATGTTTTCTGGCTGTGCCTTTCTGCATCCACATAAATCACAGACAGATGTCACCCTCTCCTAAGTTATAATCCCTAGGATAGGTGTGAGCTCTTCAGCATGCAGATTCGGAAAGGAGGGGGAAAGTCTCTATAGGTAACTCTGAGTGGATGTAGACTCAAGGCGAGAGCATTGCTCTAGGCTAGGAGAGTCAGAGGTACTGTTTTTGGTAAGAAGTGGATTTGTGACTTGCGGGTTTTTTTTTTTTTAATTAAATATAAATATAAATCATTAGTTTATATGCCCAAAGCAAGGTATGAGTGTTGTAATATTACTAACATCAGTGCCATAAGATGAGGCTGAAGAATCAGGCCTACTAGGTATTGCGTTTTGGTGAGTGCTGGTTTAGTCCAAAGGTAAGAGCTCTTTACTCATAAAGAATGCTTCTCAGGGACCTTGGGACATTTTTTACAAATTAAGGAGGCCAGTATGGAACTAGCTGACTAACATCTCTAGATTTGGTGACCTGTTGTCTGGCTCTCCCTTTCAAAAAGTTGAAGGTTAATGTTTTCTTTAAAAAGATCTTTAAACCGTAAAAAGATCTTTAAACCGATGTTAACAACTCTAGGGAAATTGCTCATTCAGATGAGCATCTTTTATTTCATTCTTGAGTCATGGTTTAGCTCTACTGCCAGTGTATTTCTCTTGGAAGATGATCTTGTCCACATGTGTACACTGGAGGGAGGGACCTTTGGGATGGGTCCTCGTGGCGGGGGTCACACTGTGGGTCACTTTTGGGAACTGGACTACTTTGAAATGGCCAGTGTTGGCATCCTGGCCTTCCAAAGCTGTCATCCAAAATTAGACTGCATGCTTGTCTCTTTCTGCACTACGGTTTTACAGGTGTGACTCAGCACACCTGTAAAATGGATCAAAAGTATGTTAATGCAGGAAGACAGTAGACACAGAAAAGAAAGATAATTGAGGGCTTAATTTGTTTGGAACAAATACCTAGGCAGAGCCAATTACTGGTAACTTGAAAAACTTAAACATAGAAGGAAAAGGTCTGACTTGGACCTCATAAAACAACTAGCTATGAGACATCTGCAATATTTTTCGAGTCCTGAAGCACTTCTGAACACAAAGAGAATAAACCCATATATGTTTATGGTTTTTCATTGTTTGGTAGGAACATGCAGCTGCTCGTCTCTCTGAGCAGCACCGTGATGACGATGTGGCAGGAGGCGCCTCCAGTTCTCTTGTCACAGGTGTCCAGGGAGCTGCAGGCTACTTCCTGTGGTGGAGCCACTTGAAAACAAGGATACTGCCTCTCTGAACTGTCAAGCAGTTCAGCCACAGTAACACCCAGCATTCTCAGACACCACCGTCTAGCCTTGAACTTTTTTTTAAAGATTTATTTATTTATGCATACAGAACTGGGGTACAGGCCAGAGGTGCAGGGGCGGCGAGAGGCTTCACCTGAGACAGAGTGGGGAGCAGAACAGGCAGATCGACGGAAGTACACTGCTGAGGGGACCAGCGGGCGGGTCAGGAGAGGTCTGCCACACCATGTGGTCACCTCCGGGGCAGGCGGGAATCGAACTCATGTGGAAGTGGCTTTAGCTTCTCAGTGCTGTGCTTTAACCCGCTGCGCCACCAGGGAGGGCCATGGCCTTGAACTTTTAAGGGAAAAAAATTTGAGAGGAAAATCCATCTCTGATGGTGCACAGTTTTGATGCAGAAATGCAAGAGGCTGTGCCATGATGAAAGCTGAGACACTCGTCCCTTTTCCCCATTAACACAGGCAATGCAGTGGACAAGCCCAGGTTTTCTTCCTGCGTCTCAGTGTCCCCGTGTGTGAAATGGAGATAGTACTGGTGGCACCTGCCTCAGTGCCACTGCGTGTCCCTGGGGGCACTGCATGCATAAGTGAAATGCTGGTGAGTGCTGCGCTCCAGTAAGGGCCAGTTGTCACTGCTGCCACCACTGTTGATATTGTCAGTGTTCCCGTAATTCTTAGCGACTGATCGTGTTCTACTTGTAAGAACTTCCAGATCTCTTGATTTTTTTTTCTTTGCTTGCTTTCTGGCATTTTCTCCTACCACCTTAATAAGCCACCCCCCACTAAGGAAAAAGAGAAGAAAAAATTCTTCAGACTTTTCTTGTTTTATTAAGTAGTTAAAGCATTTGCAAAAGTTGAAAGTGCACAGTTACAGAAAAATGCAATTTTTAAAGGTAAAAAGGTAGTTGTTGAAGTGCAAATGATACAAGTTACAGCCTATCATCTTGACTTCTTAAATAACCTAATAACACCTCTCAAATATCTGCCTGCTCCACAGTTTTAAGAACATGACCATTTTATGGCCTCCTCCACTCAGCATTAGAACTGTGATATTTTTCTCTGGCCCTTAATTTGCCATGATTTTGTATCATGAATTACTGGTCTGTTGACTGTTCTTTCTTCAAAACAAAAAGGAATGGAAAATAGTGAAAATCTTACTACAGGTGGTGAGAGTTATCTTGGATTATCTTTGTTTTACCTTTTTGATTAGAAAACCAGGCAGCACTTTCTGGCACCTAGGACGCCCACTGTAATGTGGCTCTTTGGTGAAGCCCCCCATGCGCTAACGCTGCGTGCCCCTTGGGGTGGTAGGGGGAGCCCCTCACTGTCAGGCAGCGCAGCTGTCACTCGCCTTCCCACAGACTCTCGCTGGCCCCGACTCTCCAGTGTGGGGTCGACTGGCCACATGTGCCTGAGCTTGATGCAGCTATAAGCTCAATGTGATTAGAATTAAGTAAGATGAAAAATTCAGCTCCTCAGTCACACCGGCCATCTTTCATGTGCTCAGTAGCCACGTGTGGCCCATGTTCTGGACAGTGCAGATACGGAACATTTTTGTCCTTGCAGAAATTCTTTCCCTAGTTTAGTTTCTAACTGCCCGGCTTGTTAATGCTACAGTGACAAAGAAGAACCACCTCTTATTTTTTGTAGTGTTTTCTAGAGTGGATTTTGGCAAGCTTTGGCTGCCTATTTCATACTCAAAAGTTTTATTGGACCTCAGCCACACCCATTTGTTCACTTAGGATCTGTAGCTGCTTTTGTGTTGCAGCAGCAGTGATGAATGGTGAATTTTTTTTTTTAAAGATTTATTTATTTGTGTATACAGAACTGGGGTACAGGCCAGAGTCTCAGGGTCAGTGAGAGGCTTCACAGAGGCAGAGTGGGGAGCAGAACAGGCAGATCGACAAAGTACACTGCCGAGGGGAGCAGCGGGCGGGTCAGGAGAGGTCTGCCGCGCCATGTGGTCACCTCCGGGGCAGGCGGGAATCGAACTCATGCGAACTCATGCGAACTCATGTAGAAGCAGCTTTAGATTCTCAGTGCAGTGCTTTAACCCGCTGCGCCACCAGGGAGGGCCGAATGGTGAATATTCTAACAGAGATTGACTGTGGCTCACAAAAAAAGGACAGTTCTTGTGCTGTATTGGGACGTTCGGGTCAGTGACAGACCACATACTTGACGAGGTCCCTATCTCTAGCTCAGGAGTGTCACTGGCTATACTGCATAGGTTCGTGTAAGCGCCTCACTGTGTTTGCACGAGGATGAATCTGCCTGATGCTGCATTCTGCAGCACGTGGCTGTATCTCCTCTGGCCCTTTTCTCTAAAGCAGTGTTTCTCAACCTCAGGACTGTATAAACATTTTGGTCCAGGCAATTTATTTCTTGTGCAGGGTTATCCTGTACACTGTAGGAGGCAGAGCCTGGGCCCTCTCCCCTCGGGTGCTGGATATGCAGCCGGCCCCTCTTCTATCCAGTCATGACAACCAAAAATGTCTCCAGATGTTGCCCCCTGTTCCCTGTAGTTGATAACCATTGATGTACAGTGATTAATTTTACAAAGCGTTTATTATACTGTACAAAACTGCTCTCTCGCAAACAAATTCCGTTAAAGGCAGCTAGCATTCTCTCCAGAACATGACAGCCTGACTGTGGCGGTACTAGGGCAGCGCAGCCCACGGTAGCGAAGACCGGACAGAGGGGGCAGGACAGCGACTCTGGAGCAGGGTGCGTGCTTTAGTTTACACCTGGCATGCAGGGCTGCTTCCCTGGTCAAACACCATGACCACAGGGTGTGGTAGGTTTGTGCTGTGTGTCTAGATGTCATCTCTGTGCAACAGGACCTCGAGTGTGGCAAGAAGGGAATTAATAAATGTCCGTTATAATGATGATCAATAAATGTAGTAGACTGGTAACTTGTCTTACAAATTTTAAGTGATCCATATAGGTTCTTGCCCTTACTATCAAAATAATTGAAAAAATGGTTTTATTTACCATTGTTAGAAGCTAGGCAAATTAAATGTCAGGGTCTATAAAATTATTTCGTTCTTATAAAATCTGGCACTTGTACTTTTCAGAGTGGGGGGTTTTTAAATCTAAGAAAATGACTAAGTTGAGAAATCAACTGCTCATTTTGTGGAGATGAAGAATGTAGGGTGCTGGGACATTGATTTTAATAAACCATGCAGTGATTCTAAATTCTTGGTTTAGAAAATGGTGTGAATTAGAATTGGTACAAATTGCCTTTCGAAACGAGTATCAGCTATACCTTTACATGGTTCTTCAATACACTTAAAGTTGTATTTTTTTAAACTGTATTGAAAGGAGTAGGTAAGGTAAGCCACACATAATGGAGCGCACTTCCACCGAAAAATATCCATGTGGCTAAATATTTAGCAAGGTAAGCCGTTTTGATGACTGAATTTCAGTGAAATTTAAGTGAATGTACTTGTTCTGTGCATGATGTATTTCTGTCTGTTTTTTCAGATCTTACCAATATATTTGAGTCCTTCCTGCCCCAGTTGTTGGCTTATCCTAATCCCATAGACCCTCTCAATGGTGATGCTGCAGCCATGTACCTCCACCGGCCAGAAGAATACAAGCAGAAAATCAAAGGTAAGCAGGCAAGGAGTTGAACCTGGAGCTGGAGCTGAGATCGTTCAGCTTTGGTCAGTGGGAGCCCTCCTTAGTTAACTAACAGTTTTTCTCAGGCCTGAAAAGAGGAACTTGGACTGGAGCAGAGCTCACTGTCCTCTTGTTCCACAGGTCATGGATACCTCTGGAAGGGTAGATACCAGGGAAGAAGAGAGAGCACAAGGGAAGATGAGCAGGTGGAACTAAGCTGTCTAGGTAGTGACAGATGTAACCTGCCAGAGATCTGTGGATGCTTCTGTAGAAGAACCTCAGCATCCACTGCTTCCTCTTACTAAATTAGAAAATTAGACTTGAAAGTAGTATTAGTTGGAAGTCATGATCTCATATTTGTTTACAGACATATCATCCTGTCCTTTTAGGAAAGCAGTTAACTTTGGGCACTGGGAAGTAATTGCTGAATTCATCATTATTATATCATCTACCTATTGACGCCAGTTGGCTTCTTATTTCCCACACTGATTTTTTACTTTGGGAAATCTACATTTAGCCACATTTCTTTAGTTTGGCAGATACCTGATCCCAGTGCCCTAGCAGAATGGAATTTTTCCATTAAAACTTGAAATATGCCATGTCAGTTAGAAATGTGCTAGTGGTCGTAGTTCTTGTTTGCTGAGCCTTCTGCGTGTAGAATCCTCTTCTCTCATTCTTAAAGGTGCACATGCTGTTGGCACACGAATTCTATAAGAATGGTAACATGGTGGTGAAGTATCTAAGGCCCATAGCCTCTGTTGGTGTTCATCATGTCTTTTTCACTGCCAGGAGAAATAGTTTGACCAAAAAGGGAAGGATGTCAGTCTGTGAAAAAGGCCTGCTCTTTGTGCCAAATGGCAGCCCTTGGTTTGGACCCAGTTCCTAGCCTGACCTGCATAGAAGACAAAAAGTGTGCCTCTGCTGAAGCGTTTGTGAGAAATGATGGCAGAAACACTTTGTGAGAGCTTTGAGTATATAGGTCTTTCCCTTAACTTGCAGGTGTAAGACAAAGCAGACCTTTGGGGCTATTTGTTTTTAAAAAGTGGTTTTCCTCTCCCTGGTCTCTATAAGGTTATTGTGGTACTTTGTTGAAATATAGCTGAAATAAATCTACCCTAATGAGTTTACTTAGGCCTCAAGTGTTTTGCAAATCATCTTGTTTTATTATACATAGCTAAGTGAGCTTGTATTTCAAGAAAAAAGCCATCATTTTCAACCAGGTAAGTCTTTCCTGAGACTGTTAAATAATTTTGACATAGTAACCACTTGACATTGCCTGTAAGTTGCAGATGTCTGAGTGCAGAATGTTCCTGTAGTACCTATCTATGCTCCTTGTCCTTCAAGCAACCCTTTACCACCAGCCCCATGCCAGTACCTGTCTGCCATCACAACAGTTACAAGAGGAACCAACCTGCGGTTTTATCTTAGAAGAGTCAGCTCTAGCTTCGGAAGCTCTAGCTCTCTGAAATGTTGAGGCCTATAGGACCAAAGCTCACCTCAGCGTCCTACTGCACCTTTCTGTACAGACAGACCCCGCCCCTCTTTGTCCCTCTTAGTAGAAATGAGAGCTGTCCTGTCTAATTTCTTAAAATCCCCCCCCACCAGCCTGTGATCTTGTTCTCTCATTTATCCTTCTGCATGGCACTCTCGTCCCCCACTCCTAGTTTTTTTACCCCCAGGCCATCCATAGTCCCATTTCAGAAGCCCTTCTGTTCCCAAGGACTTCTTCAAGGAATCTTGTGATTTGCTTTCATTTCCAAACTCTGCGCTTCCTTATTCCAGATGCTGGAGGTCTCTCTTGTCTCCCTCCACTAACTGCTCAGTCGATGACCTCATTGCCCTCTAATCTTCTGGACCTTTCTCAGAACCCATTTTCCTAACCTCTCTGCAGCTTTGATTACTTTATTCCCTTAGCTTTCTGAAAACTCTTCTTATTCCATCTCCTAAATATGGTCATTCTCTGGAGATTTGGTCCTTAGGAAGCCCCCTCCCACACGCATACTCCTTGCCCAAGGAGGAATTCACCCCTCGGCTGCAGGTAACCCCTCCAGGAGGAGTTCCAATATGTGTGCCCAGGCCTGACTCCCCTGAGCTGCCGCCAGACATTTCCATGCCTGGCCTCAGTTCCGGTATGCACCCTTTCTCACATGAACGTGAGGTAGCATCATTTTTAGTCGATGCAGTCATGTCTTGTAAATACCAGCCTGCAGGACTGGACAGCCTTGAGGCTGTGGAAAGATTTCTTTCTTTTCCTGCTTCGGTGAGTGGCCTGCTGAGCCTGCCACTGTGTGTGACATTGCTTCTCCAGTGCAGCAGAATATCACAATGTAGTTCTTCCCCTCAGAAGAACACGGTGACTTGACCATGTGCCCACCACCCCTCCACAGCAGAACCTGTACACACACCTTACCGTACTTGCTTCAGGTCTTTTTAAAGCAAGTGCGTTTCTCTTTTATGTGTGTTTCAACATTCCGGCCATTTTCTGTGCTTCATTGGGGCTCTGTCTTTCCTGCTGGTGCTGCGGCTGATTGGGCCCTCATGGGTCAGTGCAGAGGTGACAGTCACCTGGGCTCTGGAGCCTAAGTCCCTCCCTCAGAGGGTCCTTAGGTAGATAAAGCCTTTGTTTCTCTTCTCAGTGGTGACCTTGCTCTTCACTTTGCTACCTCCTGAACAGCCTCGTCCTAGTAAGCACTTACTATTTAACAGCCCTCTAAAAATATAAAGTAAAAGTCACCTCTGTGCTCAGTTGTTCAGATCTGGCAGGCCACTTAGCCATTTGCTTTCTGAATAGGAGAGGCTTGCCTCTTTAGTGTGTACAGGCTGTTTACTTGAAAACAGTACGCATTAAGTTTGTAGGAACAAGTGTAATTGTTCAGCATTCTCAAAAATTTCTTTTCAGCCAGCCAATTCAGCATAAGTCTTCAGGTAAATAACGCATGGTCAATCACTCGGGCTAGCTGTGTCTCAAGAGAGAAGCTCTTTCTGGCAGATCGAGACTGTTTTTACCAGTGCATAAAAAAACCTGACAGGCAGGATCTGTTTAAACTAAAATCTATTCCTAAAATAATAGATTTGGACTGACTATAATTACAGGATTGCAAATCTTAAAAAGATGATGGTGTTTCCTTATGCATTACTATAGAATTCTAACTAGTATTTTTCTGGGAGTCAAATGGCTTTATTAAAAATAAAATGTGTGGGTCCCATTTCCCTGATTCGTCATTTGCCACACCGTGAAGCCACACTGGTAAGCCAGCAAGGACGGTGCTAGAGGGCACCCTGACGGAGAGCTGGTGGCCACTGAGCCCCAGGCATCCTCCTGGGCCTCTGCTGTCTCCCGTGCCAAGTCCTGAGTGGTTGGTGTGCCTGTATGTTGGGGTGCGTATTTGTTCCCACGCAAGTCAGATGTTCTGCTTTGCCTTTCTTACCGAGGAGGCAAGTGTCTAAACCCATTCCCAAGACGTCTCCCTGTGGGGGCTCTTTGTCTCCCCTCCCCCCGCCCGAAGTAAGCACGAGCCTCCCTGAACGCGGTCAGTGCTGAGGTCTGCAGCACGTACTCGCCTGCTCACTGCCCTGGTCTTGTGTCCCCTCCCTGTGCAGAGTACATCCAGAAGTACGCGACGGAGGAGGCGCTGAAGGAGCAGGAAGAGGGCACGGGCGACAGCTCGTCGGAGAGTTCTATGTCTGACTTCTCGGAAGATGAGGCCCAGGATATGGAGTTGTAGTAGAGAAAGCACCTGCTTTTCAGAAAGACTATTATTTCCTAACCATGAGAAGCAGACTATAATATTCATATTTAAACAAAGCAATTTTTTTTATTACTAAACAAGGTTTTTATGAATAATAGCATTGATATATATATATTATATATCACCCTTTAGATCTTGGTTTCTTGGTCGTTTCTCCCCCTGAGGCGCACATTCCACTGGGCAGCACCGCGGTCCGCGTGCATGCATCCATGAGTCCGTGTGGCCAAGTCAGCCGTGCGCTGCTCAGCTGTCCAAGAATTAGCCGCTCTGATAGACAGATGTGAGTACAAATAACAGGAAAAAGTTGCTTCTTTTATTGATGGTTCCAAAGAAACAAACCAAACCACCCAGCTCTTGGATGTGAAGATAGAGTAGAGCTTTTTCAGACTGGGAGGAAAAGGCCTGCTGTGGGAGCCCTGAGAGCCAGCCTCAAGTGAGAATCAGAGCTGCTCCTTCCTGCGAGCCCTTAGGTGGCCCCTTTCTGCGGATAACAGCATAAAACAGGGAGCTGACTAGAGTATTGGAACGGAAAACAATGTTTTGACTCAGATTTTAAGTACATTTTTATATGTAGATTCTCGCCCTTCTTGCTACCAGGCCCTGCAGCCGCAAGTGTTTTTGCTTGGAGAGCCTTTTGGAGTGTTTTTCTGAACCTGATTCTTTTTCTTGGGGTAGAGTTTGTAATTCAGACCTTTTTGAGAGGACAGGGGAGAGTGCCCGGGAAGACATTTCCTCTCGAACGGCAGCGCAGAGACACACCCTGTTCTGGCCACTTTGAGACCGCTACTCCGGACTCAGAGCTTTATACGTGAGAGGTGGTGAGTGTTTGGGTTTTAGGATTTTGACTTGTTTGGCGTGTGCGTGACTTGTGCTTAGACTGGCTGCAGTTTAGTCTCCACCTCCCAAGCGGTGGCCTCCTCCTAGGACAGCCGCTCAGTGGCCCGGGGACTCTGGCGGGAGACCCAGGCCCGTCTGCTCTCGGCAGCCGCCTGGCCTCGTCTGTCGTGGGGAGTGAGCATTTTAGGCCCAACACACACGCTTACCATGAGTAATCATTGGAACAACTAGAGGTTCTAACATGGGAAAAACCGACACAGCTTTTTTTTTTTTTCAGAGTGTGACTGAATTAGGAGAAAAGGGTTCAAAAATATGAGGTAGCAGAACAGGTTCTGAAGGACGACTGCTTTCTCTCCTGTGTGCGGTGAGGAAATCAGACCGTTTAAAATGCCTGCTAACCAGATGTTTACTCAGCTAACCATATGTCCAGGTGGCCGGCAGTTTCTTTCAGATTTCAGTGTTGCCTGCTGAATCTGGAGAACTTGAGACAGCAAGTCTGTATTTTTTGGTTTTGGGGTTTGTTTGTTTTGCAGCAACCAGTAGGACCATAGCAGAATTAGCCAATCCTAAAACCTAAGACAATTTTTGAATGTCCCACTGGGATACTTTAGTTTTTGTTTCTGATGTGATTTTAGTTTAGAAGTGCTCTATTCCACAAGATTTGCATCAGTGAGGTTGGAAGATACCCTATCCTGTCTTTTTTTAATTCAAAAGCACAATCAATCTTTTCTTTGAAAATCTATATAAATTACAACTTGCTTTTAGCATGATTATTTTCCTAAATAAAAAGACAAAGAATTTACTTATTTTATGTTAATTACGGGCATGAAGCAAAAAGGTTTTCTTTTTAAAAAAAAAAAAAACTTAAAAGTGCAGTTATGTAGGCTGTGGTGAGTTAACCTTGCCGAGTTATCTATCTAGCATTTGTGGCTTGGTGGAAGGGTAGTATTAACTATTTAACACGTACAGGTGTACTTTAACTCTTATCTAGCACGTTGTCTTCTCATTGCTTGGGGGAGGGAGGGTCTCTGCTGGCACTGTCTGACTCGCTCACCTGCTGGACTAGCAGTTTGCTTGTGCTGTAACCGTCACTGTAGGTGCGATTTAGGGTAGGCTTAAAGTGCTGGGTGGTGATTTGCGTTCAACAATAAAAAAATTGTATTTTTTCAATATTGTATAAACAATAGTGTTCTAATTACCTTTCAAAAAGAAAAAATAATGTCCAGACAATAATGGCTTTTAATCTTGTCCCAAACGTAGAACCAAGTTCCGGGAAGGTCTGTGAGCAGTGCCGCGGCTCTGCCCCTGCTCAGTCCAGCACCCCCGGTGCAGACTTGCTCGCGGGGCGGCAGGGAGCGAGCGGCAGATCCGAGCACGGCTGCAGTGCGCACGCACACGTGCATCCATCCACGTCTGTGGTGATGGGGGTTGATGAGGCTTCTCAGTTGGCACTGGAAGCTCCTGGAGTTGCTCCCCAGATCCCAGTGGACCCTCTCTGTACCTGGATTCTTTCTTGGCACTAACCTTGGCCCCAGGCTGCTTCTTGGCTCAGTGTGGGGCTTTTTCTCTCCAGTGGGACATGGACTTTTGGTAAGTTGAACAGAATCCCCTCTTTTACACTAACCAACTTTTTGTTCCTTCCTTGTACCTGGGTGTGGTAGGCCACACATGGAGATAGAGGGAACCCTGGCACAAGGGCCGGCTGAGACTCTTGAGGGCTCTGGACCCCACTGATAGTGCAGTACGTCTGAAGCTAGGGGATCTTACACCACTAAAGGTTTTTCCAAGTTATCCAGAAGCTTCTGGAGCCTCTCAGCAAGGCTGAATGTTCTTGGTTTGTCAAGGCAGTGGTAGGTCAGGCTGCGCCCTTCCATTGTACCCCTGGTTTTTTAAATCTTTCCTTGTGGTTGACCGGTGCAAGCCATTATTCTTTGCAACCCATTCAAAAGCCTGAGGTCAAAACCAACAAGAGCGAGCCCTCAACCCAGCAGCCCCAGCTCTGGGGCTCATGGGCCACTTCGGGGTAGCCGGCGTTTCTGCTCTTTTGTCTTCGGTCGCGTCTCCCTCCTTGAGGTTCCTGTGCAGTTTCAACCAGCATTTTATACTAGTGAGAGAAGTGATTAGAAGTTGCCGTATCTCTCTCCAATACCTAACGTTTTCTTCCATTTCAAAAGCTGTTCTAAATTGCCAGCTGGCTGATCTAGGCTCCTGAGGAGAGTCTCCCCTCCAAAGGTTTCCTGAAGCTCTCGTTGGCCTCAGCCAGACGCTTGCTTTTTACTGGCCTCCTTTGGGATGGCTGAGAATCATGACAGACATGCTAGCCTCTCGGGTGAAGTTTCTGAATGCCATGTTTCGGGGAACTAGTACTTGATTTTAAGTGGCATATGGCCCCTTCTTTGTTTGGGGGTGGGGGGGGGCTCAGTTAGAATAAGTGAAAGCCACTAACAAAAGGTAGCGAGAGTTTTCATTAACTTCCTAACTGGGTTTACAGCCTTGTTGACTGAAATCAAATCATTTCTGATTGGGCACAACGAACTGCATTTCTTTGGACTTCTGAATCCATGTTCGCATTTTCTTTGGCCACTGGACATCTTGGCAATTCCATTAGGGATTGGAGGGAGTGGCAGCCCCTGGGGAAAGGGGGTCAACAGCCCTCAGGTGAGCTGATTCTCCACTCACCTGAGGAAGCGCCAGGACTTCAAATTCAGCAGATACTTGTCCTGGCTGTGGGCTTGGGAAGAAATGGCCATTATTTACTGATTGTATTTGGTACCTATTGTGTGATACTTGAAGAGGTAAAAGGGACTTACCAGCCCTTAATTGAAATCTAAGCTTTGTATCGCTTATTTTTTTTCCTCGCCCTATCTCCCTTCCACCTTTTTCCTTGCATTGTGATGATCTAGTGGGCACTTCTGTCAACAGGACAAATGCCTCTTCTGACTATAACCTCTTAATAGTTGTGTATAATGAAAACTGTAAACTTTTTTAAATAAAATGTGTATATACCTTGGCAAATGGCTGGACCTTGATCAATAAGATAACAGCTCCCAGGATTCCTCAGCGCATTTTCAGACACAGCCTCCCTGTTCACCTGACTACTGGCTTTTTCTTCTTTAGACAAAGGGATTCAGTATCAGAGAGCAGCAGCAGTTAGCAAGGGCCTAACTGTGGAGCGTGTCCCATGACTGCTGGCCTGAAACATACCAAAGAACACCAGGAAAAGCCGTTGCCTTCTCCCCTGGATATCTGACCTGGACCTGTTAATGCTTAGGATACCCACTTTGCCTGGAGTGTACAGACAGGGAAGCCTCCTGCCGATCTACCTAAATAGGTGCCTGATTCAGCAGCGAGGGTGAGCAGGAGGAGTGGGTATCTGGAAGCTGAGAACTAACTGATCATCAGCCCAGCATTTCATTTCTAAAGTGTGTGCCCTCGATGGCCACCAGGTGGCGAAGTTGCCTTACCAGTCTGTTGGAGAAGCTACTTGGCTTCACCCACTGATAGGAGGGCCTTGAGACAAATTGGGGGCGGGAGGGGGGGTCATTTCTCCGTCACTGCAGTTGTGTCAAACAAGGAGGAAGAGGGTAAGTGGGCCCACAAGCCCCAGACAGACACTCAACGAGCTCCGTGTATCTGTGAAATGGGCCCCTAACAGATTCTCAGTGACACTTTGCGGCTCAGCATCTCAAAGGCTACAGCAACTTGTGAAACAGGTTTCAAGATGACCCAAAGAGCTTTGAGAACTCAAAACACCCGTTTTCTAGCCTTTAAAGGGAGAAGGAAGATCTCCAGGTTGTATGAGCAGCCATTCTAAGACCTCACACAAGGCAGCTGCTGTGAAAACTGCTCATGAAGGTCTCGGTGCCTTCAAGGGACTCCGGTGCACTCACCCCCCAGTAACCACAACCAGGTCTCTTACCTTTCAGCTTCAGTTCCTTCCAGATCCATCAGTGACTCTCCACTGCCTGCCTGAGGCCTGGCCCTTTTATTGGGTAGGGACACCCATATTTTCTGGGGTATACTGTCCTGAAAAGGAAAATTGTGTGTTCAGAGCCCCAGAACTTTTGGTCCTTGCTGTTTGGGAAAGCTGTGCTCTCCCCTAGGGAACTCACTCCTAGGACACTGGACATGGTGTGTGCTGCTCCCCAACTAGAACCAGGGCAAAGGACTCCAGTGACTGCCACAGCCCTGGCCCTGGAGCCACTTGACGGAGGGAGCAGCCGGCCTCACCCGGAGCCATAGGCTGCTCGGGGCATCCCACCCATGGTGCCCTGCTCTCTAATAACTCCCAGTGCAGGGTTTGTGCCCCAGAACGTCTAGAACCAGGAGATGACTAGGGATTTCACTTACAAGCTAAAAATCGCAGGAACATTTCATCCATTTGTTTATGTGTGTACATACAAAATAATTTTTTTTTTTTTTTTTTTGAGAAAAGACTGGATACTTCTGGGTTCTGGCTCAAACTTGGCTCCTCATTAGCTGATGGGGGTGGCAGGGACTTGGGATCCCCGAGAAGTCTTGCACTTCCTGGCCGTTCTATCACTGACAGTTAACAGAGGGATGCTAGATGCGGGTGGGGTCTAGCCTTCAGGTCCCGACCCACGGCCTGAGCCAGCACGCTCCCTGTGAGGAACATCAGCCTCACTTCTCTTTTCTCCAGGTCTATAAACTGAACCAGCTGTTTTCTGCAGGCCGGTAGCCTGCATGTAAAAGCTTTTAAAGTGCCCTTGTGAACTCTCCTGCACTGCTGGTGGGAATGCAAACTAGTACAACCACTATGGAAAACTGTTTGGAGGTTCCTCAAACTGCTAAACATGGAGCTTCCCTACGACCCAGCAATCCCACTCCTAGGTATCTACCCAAAAGACACAAAAACACTGATTCAAAAAGATACCTGTACCCCCATGTTTATCGCTGCTTTATTTACAATTGGAAAAACATGGAAGCAGCCCAAAAGTAGATGACTGGATAAAAAAGATGTGGTACATGGAATATTACTCAGCAACCAAAAAAGAGAAACACATGTCTTTTGCAGCAACTTGGATGGAGCTGGAAAAGATCATGCTTAGTGAGATAAGCCAGAAAGAGAAACAAAAATACCGGATGGTTTCACTCATAGCAGGAGTATAATGGATCAGGCGAGAAAATAACAAAAATAATGAACAACCATATACCAGAGACATTTTGTGGGGGTGGAGTGGGGAATGGGATCTAAAACGGCGGGGGGGGGGGAGGAAGGGAGGGAAATGCATGGGACTATGATGGTGGCACACGGGTGATTTGGTGATGGGAAACCCACGGGGACTACATTCGAAATGGAATAAAAGAAATGTGCAAAATGATATACAAATAAACTTGTAATAAAAAAAAAAAGTGCCCTTGTACACGTATCAAAAGACTCATGTGCAGGGAACAAAAAGGTGATGTCTTCCATAAAGTCCCCCCCAGCTGAAGAGGGCTTCCCTGTGGGACCCTCACTCTGGCCTTGAGAGCCCCTTGGGAGGCAGACCAGGACTGGGCCCCATTTCATATCAACTGTGAGGCAAGAGCCGCACACAGCCAGGGCCAACAAATGCTAGAGCCCCGGTCGGGCGTCAGGTCAGAGTGTTCTTTACAGCTGCTGCCTTGTGAGTCTCATCCTGCCCTTGGGACCAGGGCAGGCAGACCCTGAGGAGGCTGCATCCCTGCTCCTGAGCCTACCAGATGCCTCCTGTTGACCTGCAGGTGACGCTGACCCCAGTTGCCACACCTTAGGCTGAGCTCCTGCAGGTCAGGGCTTCCCCACACACATGCCCAGTTCTGCGGACAGCAGTGTCCCCAACCTTTAGGATCTGCACGCAATATAGAGCCCAACCCACTCCCGAGAGCAGAAACAAGTGCCCTCTGTAGTCACTCAGACCTTTTTTTTAATAGCCAAATTTAAAAAGTAGGTGAAATTAAAGTTTTCTTTAGGGCCTCCCTGGCGGCTCAGGGGCTGTCTCGGCGCTATCCAGCTATGGGCAGGCAGCTTGAACTCCATCCCAGGCCGGGAAGCCAACCCACATGGCCGAGCAGGCCTCTCCTGTCCCACCTGCTACTCCCCTCAGCAGTGTGTTCCAGTCAATCTGCCTGTTCTGCTCCCCACTCTTATCTCACAGGAATTTTCTGAAACTGCCACCCCCCCACACACACACCCCTCTGGCCTGCACCCCAGAAAATTGATGTTTTCTTTACAACTCAGTAGTATATACAAAATCATTCCAGTGCAGTTATTTTTAAAGGGGTAAGATTCAGCACAAATTCTCTCAAATAAATGATGTATTGTGCACTCGCTTTCGTACTCTAAAATCCAGGGTATATTCTGCACACTTCCCAATTCAGATGCCACCTTCTCAGTCTTTAAAGTGACAACCCCCACCCCCACCACCAAAGTGAAAAGCACACACTGGCTTTAATTAAAACTAGCCTGGGAAAATGGACTCCTCTGTCCTCTGTCACCATCCTGAAGAGCTCAACGCTGCCTGCGGCTCATGTCCACCGGCTCATGTCCACCTACAGCTGGGAGCTTCTGGGCAGGGAGACCATTTCCCAGAAAAGCAAATAAATCCGAGAGCAGCTCTAACCGGGAGTGGGGTGGAGGGGGTGGTCTGGAGCAGAACCCAGCACCTCGCTATCTGTGGGGAATGTTCTGGGGTCCGGCATCCCGCACAGTTCAGAGCTGCGGTGGGTTTGCGCCAACGCGAAGCACACCCCCATTCTGTCCCACCGTGGCCCCCCTCCCCGCAGCTGGGGGTGAAGGAGGGCAGCTGAGTGGGGGAAGCCTTGGGGCTGTGGGCGCCCTGTCTCGTGACAGCGTGATTTCCAGGACCTCAGCCCGGGCCAGCGGGGACTGCGCCCACGGCACCGAGCCTGCACCACGTGGTCTTCCCAGCTCGGCTGGCCTGGGGCGGCCATTGCTGCCTCGGACACCTGGGGGCGCTCGGGCCTCGCATTTCGCCCCGGACTCTGGGACTGACCGTGCAGCCCTGTTCCGGCACAGCCTGAGGGTGGACCCTGAGGTTTCCTCCCTCGCTGGAGGCTCAAAAGACAATAGCAGAGAATAACAAAGCCGGGAAACTGCCTCCCCCAGGGTCTATTGGGTCATTCCACCGCTTTCCACAGACCTTGAACCTCTTTGCCCACCTGGGGTGGGGCCGCGCTGCTCAGCCTGCTTTGTCCCTTCCTGGGCTCCTGGTGTCCAGTGACATGTGGCTACTTAAGCAAGCAGTGGATTGTTGGAAGATCAAGGGGGGGCTCAAAACCCTAGGGAGAATGTGACAATACTGGGAAGTGAGCAGAGCTAAGGGACGCTGGAGACCCAGCCTCAGCCCCACTGGGCCAGAAATGGCCACCCCAGGGGGCAGCCTAGTCATCCAGCAGAAATGGAACCAAACCTTCCTCTGCAATATGTCCTAAGATGGATAAGCTCAAGCAGGCACCAGCACCCCCCAATACTTCCCCCGCCACCCCCAGCCTAGAGGATCCAGAGAGGAGGGGTGGGGCCTTTACAACCTGACCACATGAGGGAAGAAGCCCAGTTGGAAGAGAATTCAGCACAAAAATGCCCAAGCCAGAGAGCTATTATGGCCGCTCAGCAGCCACTACCAAGGCACCCCACATCAGGGACCCCAAGACTCTCCCGCCTCATCCTCCCCAACCCACCTTTGGGCAGGGAGGATTGAAGATCATGAAAGCACCACAGACCACCAGGGAGAGGGCTTCCTGGCGGTGGAAAGGAATTGGCAAAGGGAAAGGAAAGGTCAGAGATGTGCAGGGCAGGCAGTGGGTTGTTGGAAGACCAAGATGGGGTCAAAACTGGAGAGAATGCGACAATAGCGGGAAGCGAGCACAGCTAAGGATGCAGAACTGGAGATCTGGGTGGGGAGGGAGGCGGATGGTGGCTTGTGGCCAAATAAGGACATTAAGGAAGAGACAGAGAAGCAGGTGGGGACCTCAGGTGTCCTCCAAGGCAAGAGGGCTGGACAAGAGGACAGAAACACAGCTTCAGGGACCAGGGCAGAGGCACCAGGTTGGGAGAAAGGGGAAGGATGAAAGGGCCCGGGGTGTTCACATCTGGGACTGCACCAAGGCGCGGCTCCCACCTTGGGCACCCTCTTTCTTACTTTCCAGAGCTGCCCACATGGCTGGGGAATGAGATGCAAAACCAGTGCCCCGCCAGAGTGCAGCCCAAGCCTCAGAGAGCTCCAGTGTGGGGTTTGGCCTCAGGTCTCTGTGGTCCCCCCACCTAAGCCAGCCAATTGGTCGTGCCAATCGCTAGTTGAAAACTTCTGGTGGCCTCCATGGTGGCACAATGGGTTCGCACCAGCTCTACAGGCGAGCTGCAGCCCCTCGAGTGCCAAGCTCAATCCCGGCCCAGGTCCCGGAGGTGACCAATGGCGCAGCAGACCTCTCCTGACCCGCCCGCTGCTCCCCTCAACAGTGTACTGCATTGATCTGCCTGTTCTGCTCCCCACTCTGTCTCTGGTGAAGCTTCCCACTGCCCCTGCACCTCTGGCCCCAGTTCTATCTGATAAATCATTAAAAAAAATAAATAAAACCTCTAGGGTTTAGGAGCAGTTACTTGCACAGCTATTGACATCTGATGCGCTATTGATAATACTCTTTGGTGTTAGATATCTAGTACTCTTTATAAAAGCACTGTATTTCGATATGGACTGCTCTATCTCTAGACTTAGATGTGTAAGAGAAAAATAATTATCATGTTTAAGCCACTAAAGACTTGTTTTTATTAAAACTGAGCCTAATCCTAATGACTTGATAATAGGACTGGAATTAACAGTGAAATGGGAAAATCAGGTTCCTTCTCTGTCTGCCATCCCAGCTTTGGCTTCCACTCACAAGGGGACCATATGGCCCAAAATAGCTGGCAGAGCTCCGGAAATCACACGCTAAGTTCCAGGCCCCAAGGAGAAGGAAGGAGGGGTAAATGTGTAAATGCTTCTCATCTCCTAGCAATTTTTAGTGATGGTGAAAGCCTCTGCTACTCC